TATATATATATAAGAACAATGAAAAAAGAACACATATATACCTAAGTATAAAATACAAATAGACACAATCTATATCTGTAGCAGAAATGCGTATTTAATCAATAGCGAGCAACATGCTTTTAGTATGTTTACGAAAACTTTCCAAAGACATCAATTTAATACTGATTATAAAATAGTGCTGCATTATATGTAAATCCTCGTTGGAATAATGCAGAAGTGTGTGGGGTGGTTCTGATACTATAGCGATTCCTAACAGCCCTGTCATGCACTTCGTAATTAAATCTTAACTTAGCTCTTAGATATTCAGGCTTTGATGACAATATTATTTTATGAACTAAAACTAAGAATTTATGTTTAACCAAACTTCCTAACCTAAGCCAGTTCAATTCCCTATATTTATCACTTACGTGATCGTATTTACGCAACCCATAAATAAAGCGAACACAGTTATTTTGGATGATTTGAAGACGATTTTTGGTCAATTGATCCAAACATGGATAATAAACGACATCACAGTAAATGAGCATTGACATCACCAAAGATTCGCACAGTTTTTTTCTCAGCTTAAAGTTAAGCAAGTAGCGGTTGGAATAAAGAGCCCTAGAACACAGGTAAGTTTTTTTCATCAAATTAGCTATTTGGCTGCGGAATCTTAATTTTGTGTCAATTTCCACTTCTAGTACCTTAGCTGTTTGAGTATGCTGTAATGTTATGCGATCAATAGTCAGATGGAAAGAATCTTCGACAGTTTTCCTCTTCTGATCAGAACAAAACAATAACACTTGTGTCTTATCTGGATTAATGGTAAGATTATGTTCCACAGAAAACTGATGTACCTTATCTAAATCAAGCTGTAAAATGTCTGATGAATTTTGCGTATCTGAGGCTTCGAAATGGAATATTATTTGAGTATCGTCAGCAAATGTTTGTATCCCTGAATTTTCAACTGCTTTATGCAGGTCACACGTGTAAATCAAAAAGAGCACAGGTCCCAAAATTGAGCCTTGCGGAACTCCTGACGGAATAGTCGTAATATTGGATTGATCGTTATTGATTGCGAAACATTGCGTGCGACCGGACAAATAGCTACGGAAAAAACTGACAGCAGCATCATCGAAGCCTATATACCTCAGCTTGGCGCACAAAAGTTTATGATTTATTCGATCGAATGCTTTGGAATAGTCAATTGATACCACTGCTGTTGCTAACTTTTTGTCAACTGCCCTAATAACATTATCACAACTAGAATTAGTTGAAATCCACTTTGAAATTTAATTCAACTTTGCTAAAAGCACTCAATATATGCATTGGGGATTTCAAATTCGGAAACGGTAATACAAAGTCGTGTATGAAGGCAAAGTTGCGCATTTAGGTAAGTAATTTCTTAGATAGTTCAGGAATTTTTGGAGAGACAGTAAATACGAATTTATTTTGGTTCATCAGCCCTTTTGCTAGTAGACCAGCAACAGCGATATTATTGTTGGTAGAGGGAATCTATGTTAATACTGTTCTGATTATGATTTTGCAACAGACGAGTTTGACAGCACATCGGGCTACGTCTGCTATGACTTCCGTAAACATATCAGCATCTGCGATGCTAATATAGAGTTGAGAATGCATAAACTGGACTATTTCAGAGGCACTGCTTAGCTTACATCATGATGTGTACTCGTATAATAAGACTAATAAAGCCAGGAAGCCACTAAGAGCTACCGGTTTTGCCACTCCGCTCAGAGGCGTAACATAGATTCTTTTATTCAGAAGACTCCTTGGTTGAAAAGCATTTCTTCATTTTTATTCGACTGCCTCAGAAGAAGAGTTATGTTTTTCGCGTGTGGGTATTTAAATTAAAAAAAATGCATTTCAGGAGCTACAGCCCAAGCGGTTTGATAAGGTTTCAATATTTGAGGGATTTTTAGACTCGTCTTCTTAGCATAATCATATAAATCTCCACTCTCTTCAATTACTGCAGTCGGGTTGTTTGTATGTTTTTAAAATGTACTTGTTCATGAATAATACGAGGGTTACAAAACTAAGGTTTCCACATTTTTTTCAGACACAAGGAATTTGTCATTTGAAAAAACGAATTCACCATTGGTAACATTGATCTTTGAGCTGTTTTTCTCCATAGTTGCCATGTTTTTCTACAAATGTCTGTGTGGCCATCAAGTCACTTTCTTCACCATTTGAGGACATGTTGAACGCTTAGACACGTTTTCCCATATACTTCACTCATGTGGCGACTAATTTCTATGGGTGGTAACGTTTTTGCCTGCAAAATTCGGATGACCGCACGAATTTTGCACCTGTAAAAAAAAACCTGTAATATGTCATCTTGAAAACAACTTAGTTTTTAGGGCGCAAACAGTCGTTCTAAGTTTGCTCACAAGGATCGTTGTGAACGTCCATCTATGGAGGAATCACTCCACTAAACTACACGCATTATTGGTTGCATATGTTTTGTGAGAAGAAAGTTGGTTAAATAGCAAGACCGCATCTGAATGATTATGTGTATTGGGCTGCATGTGAACAACATCAGTGATATCTGCTGTGTGAGAAAATAATTACTGAATATGCTGCCAATGAAGTATATCTATTGGCTGTGCTCGACGGGTTATTTTGATGTTAAGCTTCCTGAAGACAGGTTATGTTCAAAGTTATAAATAACGAAAAACTGAGGAGAATTACGGGAAATCATAACCGCGCCCGCGTTGTCCGTAATTACTGTTAGCATGTATATGGCTTGTAATTCGACAGTGTACAGTGATTATAATTATTTCTTATCTCTCTCATTTTTGAAATTCAGCAAATTTGTATATGTAATTTCCAGAATGGATAAGAAAAAGTGGATGCGCAACTAATTTCTAGCTTTGAATCTCAATTAAGTGTATTTGAGACAAGAACCCAATGTAATTATCATCAAGACATACAACTTACAGCTTAGACCTCCAGTAATGCCATCTCAGAAGCAGATTTTACATCACATCAGAGCCAAAGTTGATAACAAGCCTCATGAGGTTTAGGCAACACGCTCAGCTAAGTGCTAAGTTAACATCTTGTAGAAAAACCTACATAATGTCAAAAAACATCGGCATAATGTCACTTTTCAAGATACGTGATACCCGTGCGGTACTGAGCATCGCAAATAGGCGTTTCTTGTTGGGATCGAGGGTGTGGGAGCCGACACACGGCGGTGTTGCCAGATTTCACCTAGCATCAAATTTATGAGAACTGGGAAAAGCTCATTCTGCTAGTTTGTTCCAAAGCTTAAGCTCAAAGAAGCGGTAGTGCCCAGCAGCTCTTGATGCATAAAGTTTGGCAGGGTTAGAATGGGAAGCAAGATTTGTGACTTCTCGTTCGCTAAACAGTTCCTCAGTTGACCTCGCAATGGGTAAGCCAAATCCAGGAAACAGTTTCAGTACTGGAATTGCTACTAGACAATGTCAGCTAGGGAAGTATCCCGATAATAACTGACACGTCCTTATTTAGAGGATGTGAACAGGTCGATGCAACTGTCAATCACTTACATTGCGACTGCCCAGTTATTCTATCAAGACGATAAAAAATAATGATCAGAACTTAAAAAAACCTCCTCGGTAGATAGTCCCACAATCTCGATACACTAGGGCAAAGGCTCTGAGGAGCAAAGCCCGTAGGCTTAGCGGTAGAAGAGAGTTAGATCGCCGACGGTTCGCCGGTGCGAAAGGGTCCCGAGACTGTCCGTTAGAGAAGGGCCACCGATCAGTCGGACAGCCCTTCTCTGAACAGCATCCAACCCAAAAGTGTGAGCAGTAGTCGAGGCTAGGTCTTACCTGGGCATTGTACAGAGGTACTTCTTAGCCCTAAACAAATTTCATAGTAACCCTAGCCTCCATAAAATAAGTATCTGCAAAAGGGACAGGACGGAGCATGGCGATTAACCCTGGTACAGTTGCTGATTATACAACTTCTTGGAGAAGCGCTACTGATTGAAGACCATAGTGCTGTTATTAACAATCGGTGTACGTTTACACGTTGAAATAACTGTTTTTGATTGGCGATGCAAATCGTATCATATTTCATCTAAATGCCCGATTTCCTATACATTACTTATTTATTGAGAGCGTGTTATCTGCTACTGAATGATGGATATCATGTTTGTCTGACCAGGAATGAGAGAACCTCAATTTAAGAGGGGCGTTTAAATGCATTTTTTGTAATATTTGAAAATTTAGGAGCAGCCCTTTGGGATTTATACTATCAATATGAACCAAAGCTCAGAACAGGATTTAATATAAATTGTATACGAGGGCAGTCCGATAAGTCCTTACCGCCTTGCCGCCCGATGGCGCCACTATCGCAAGGGAAATTTACTATCGTTCGGTACATTCTCGTAAATGGCTACTGTCAAATTTCAGGCGAACCTGACTCATAGTTTTGTTTTGACGCGGATTTTAGGAAAAGAGCAATATCGGTCGGTGATTCGACTCTTGTTTTTGCGAAGGAAATCGCGCAGGGAATTAAAGGGCCGATCCGAATATGTAATAAAATATAATATATTAAATTTGAAAATCTTTTCATTTTCTTAAACTTTTTATATGTTATTGCACATTTATATAGATGAAGATTGATATAACATACTACGGCCCGTTCATAAAATAAGTAGTAGAAGTGCTTTTTGAAAAGCATAGATAGGATCCACAAACAAATGTTAAATAAACAATATTCATAGTTATCGTGTGTGTAAATGATATTTAATACCGAGATATGATTCGAAATCATGCCAGTGGATGGCAGGACAAGAGATATGAGAGCATGAGCGTCATGCGGACTAGTTTGGGTTAATAAGAACATTAAGTTGGTGCTGATTTCCATCGATATTTGCTCGGGAGAATACATTTACACATTTACTTTGAAAGCTCTAACGGATAGATAGGAGATGACGCAATTGAATATTTCAATGTGATGTAATTATAACCGTTTAAGAAGTAAATATTTATATTGTATTTGTATTGTTTCAGAGTTCGGCAACGTCATCGGACAATTCAGAGAGCGATTGTTACCGAGAACCAGCTTGCAAGTATCCTCGGTTAAGTAGAAGAGAAAGATGCAAGACAACCAACCGGCAACAGTTTGAAGACTACTCTTCCAGCGAGGTACGGATGAGTAAAAAATATCGATATTTCTAAATATCAAAATTCATACCACGGTTGGTAAAAACCCAGGTTTTGTTTGTTTAAACTAGGTGCTTTTGCTTCAAATAATTTGCGTTTAAATATTGACTGAAACAGACAGTGGATACCATTATTTGATACGTGGAAAGCATGTTTTGTGAAGAGGCAAAACACATTATGTCTAAAGGAAACTAAAAACTTATTTACATAAAAACACCACACACAACTTCCTTCTTTGCGTTCATGTGTGAGAATGAGCTAAGAATAAACGTGATGTACTAATAGGGGACCAAAATTTTACTTTCGGGATGTGGGGATTATAGTCGGACAAATAAATAATACGAAATAAATGATAAAAATTAAATGTATTACAACAAAATACTTTTTTGGCAAGTTATGAGATTACAGATGATACACATGAGACAACGAAAATACACTTTCTGCGTCTTAATTTCAAATTGGTGTTTTGTTATTTGTGGGGTAATTTGTATTTTGCCTGGACTCTGGAAACCATATGAAATATCGGGACAATCTCGACGAAGCTCGAACATCTGGTAACCAAAAGTGCTAAATCTTAAACTAAAACTTGAGTCAAAATTTAATAGTAAATTTAATCATATAATTTCAGTTTATCATTGATAAATAAAAAAAAAATTTCAAGGCCTTTCAGTACCCATTCTATTACCTTACTTTGCATTAAGCCAAAGAAGAAAACATTATTTCTACACCTGCTGAAGATACTTGTGCGGTGTGTGAGTTATTGAGAGATATCGATAATTTTATCATTTTCGTTTGATCAACATCATTTTTTGGTGTCTCCACCACCTAATTGTTACTTTTGTAGTTACCCTAATTTCAACAGATTGTTTTTTAAAATTGAGCACTGCTTGAAATTTTATTGGCAATTTATCATATCAAAATAAATCTGGTGGAAAATGTACATTTAAGGTGCTGTAATAGTGAGGTATTTTGACAACACTTGATTAAACCAAACAAAAATTAAGTTTTGATTAATTAAAAAGAAAGTTGGTGAATAAAATGTACAAGTTGCAAAAAACCTGTCGTTTAGCCCTTGTCTATCTCTTTCTAACATGTTTGTGTTGATATTTGGTTTTCCCTGTAACTGAAGAAAGCTTTTTTATTTACTGTCCTAGTAATAGAAGAAATGTAGGACCACCAACTGCTTCTAACAATTATAGATGACTACTCTTGCAGCGAGGTATTTCAATAACAATATCTAGTTATACCTACGATTTATTTCCTCAGAATCGTGAAATCCCACAGATTATACTACTATTAATGGTGATTTTTCCGTCGTCTATTATCCAAACCCGTAATTTTGTTGAATGCAGCATATACGGGTATCATTTTGAATAGCTTGTTTCTGTTATTTCGTAACATGATTGTGAAGTGGATTTTAGATATCGGATAAATCTTGGATCAGTAGAAATCTTAACCATTGATGCGCCTACAGATATTCTAATAATTCGTGTGATACTTGTTACTATTGTGATGTGTTAACATAACACAGGATTATCGCGGCTCGAAATTTAGTGGTTATGTCAACGATGGTACATTTTAAATCCCTTAATGTATTGTGTGGGATTCTGGGAGCCCGCAGGGGGAAGCCAGGGGCGGCGGAGCTCCCCCTGGGAATTCGGTTGGAACTTAAAATTCCCCTATTCAGCATGGTTGTGCACCGAGTAACAATCCGTTACTTTTTAAAATTTCAAAATTTACTATATTATACTTGATATCATCAACCAAAAATTAAGCGAATAAGGTCACAATCAGTTATCCGGATTCAACAATAGTATCACCCTAGAACTGTTTTGATTCCGCGCAATGGAATCTCGTAACTGCAGCACAACTTTTCTATTTTTGTAGGCAAATACAGATGAATCATAACACCTAATCTCCATAATTCGTCAGTTTTGAAGTTGAGAAATGACAATTGACAACTTGGCCTCATTACATGTCCAAGCCGCGTATTTTTTAAAATTGTCGATATATGTATTACTAATAACATAATAAATCTAAATGCGCTCCTTCTTTAGTATCTTGAGCCGTGAACGTGAGAAACTTGGTTTTACCAAAAGATTCTTCTTGATGATTACAGCGCCAACTGTTGATGAGAGGAAAAAACTTGCTAATACAGAAATCCATTACTTTTCACTTGAATTCTATTACTATTTTTGCCAGTTATCTGTTACTCGTCCCTAGTCGTCCCTAGCTATCCAAACCAGGGAGGCGCGCGCTCGTTGAATTGACCGGCACGAGTAATAAATAATATATCTTTGATTCATGAAATATGTCTAATAGGAGCGTAGCATTACCTGGGTTGGAAACACATAAATTGCTTGCACAAAAAAAATTACATACCCTACAACCCCCAACACAAGATTCTTAACCCTTGCAATGAATTTTCCTTAAATGCTCAGAAACCTCTGGAACGTCAAAAAAACAAGTTTGAGCATTGTTTATTTTTTCGTGTTTTTGCATAGATATACCGACAGACAGATGGAAATAAGTGACATTGTTTTTTTGTGATATACCATATAACACCTAGAAAACGTTATATCATTTACAAAATTACAATACTTCCTCGCCAGTGTTGCGTGGGAAGTAAAAATCGTTTTTGAATTTAAGTTCTTTTTATTACCGGATAGATGACAGCTTGTTTTGAAAAAGTGTTTCTTCTTTTATTCATTGGTGGTCATTTCATCCTCTACAAATTTTCTATACTTTATGTTAATTCTGTTGTGAAATCCGTCTGTTCATTTTTTTTTCTAAAACAGTATCTGTTTTTGGCTAGTTACCATGATGCTATGCTAACTCCCAAGTGTTGCAATCTTACAACGAAAACAATGCTAGATTGCCATTGCCATGAAGCGTCGAGTTTAATTGCAGTTAATTTTTGAATTTTGGATGTTTCATTCACTCACAATTTTACGACTTCGGAAGCCCATAACTCGACAAATAAAAATCTATATCGGTATAAGTCAGCATAAACACGAAAAAAAAACATATTACACCGTAACATTGGTATTTTCGATCAAAATCATTACCCAAAACAAATTTTCGGTTCATGTGCCATCATATACACACGTAACAAAAATATGTGTTCCGTGTTCAATGAAACATACCCACTTATTATATTGGAAATATCATCAGATATATTGCCAGGAAAAAAAATCAGTTTATTGCTATTAAATCTCACGGATTACTCTGGCTATCAATGTCATTATTTCTATCTTTATCTTCAGCCTATAATTTGTACGGATACCATAATAACAGCTTTTTTAGGATTGTGTCATGTCTATTCTGTCGCAACGACTTAGAATGAGGATTAAGAATCTAGTGAATACCCATCTATTATTTATATTGAAATATTCTCAACATTTACTTTTTATGTGTTCATTTTTTTAATTTATTTACTACTATGCCGCAAGGGCTAGTTTAATCAATTTTTCAATCTAATTCTCATTTGAAAATATTGCCTTCTTTTAGTTACGCCAACGACGTTCTATCATAAGAAGCTTCTGATCCCGATACCAACGGGAAAACTAAATGACAAAAGTCCGATGTATAATGTGCCCATAATTCGAATTAACTTTTCAATCGTTAGCGTTGCGTGCACGGCGCGATGCTAGATCGTCGTGGAGGCCGCTACCGACTGTGCAATGCGTAAAAAAATCCAACTGGTCTGCGGTGGTGTCGTCACTGACACACCGCTACAGGAGAAATTACACATATATTCTTCTGAATTTTACGATCCTTGAATGTACCACCAATTTGGCCTAACATTTAATTTGTGGTACTCCGTCTATGTTGGTTTTCTGAATATTTCGTCAAGTAGATTGACTCAGCATTGATATACAGCAGACACGGACTGACAAACCGACAAATGAGAAACACGGACTTGTGTAATGCAGATGCAACAGAAAACTTGTGAACCGAAGTTCGAATATTATCGTTTACATTTTGAAAATTGATTCAGAGGCGGCGTTAAAAAAATCGCAGGAACATAGAGTTACAACGTTTTAGAGAGATTCCTGCTCATTTTCAAACATTGTTTGGACCTCGTAGAAGCTGCTGATCTCGATGATACTATGCACCCGTTACACATAATAAGTTACATCTACATCTGTCATGGAAACAGAAATATGATAGATTTGCTTTATATAGTTTGATATGCAGAGTTCGAATATTCATCGTACCTAAGTGAACCTACCTAATCACGAATCGATTTGAAACGATTTGATTCATAATTTTTTTCTGAAACCTCCAAAGAAGATGTAGGAAATATAGAGTCAATCTGCTTGACGCCATTTTTTATGCAGACTAGCTGACTTCGTCCCAAACAATTGATGTAACACAAAAGTTAGTCTAGAAAATATTGGCTGCAAATACGGTTTTCGATCAGAATGAGTTTGAAACATTTTTCAGTACGTTGAAAAATTTTTATACTGATTTTGGAATCGAAAAGGTACGCTTCCCATATTCAATTCAATTCAATTCAATGGACTTTATTGTAACACATACATAATTATGTATCCTTACAAATGGCGAAGTCTGGCCAATGGCCATTTATACTTAACCATAAATGTCAATGCTTATTACTACCTTCAAAATAAAATAAAAAAAACTGAAAAAGAAAAGGAAAAAGAAGAATAATAGTAAAAGAAGAATTAATAAATATGACATAATGCGTACGATTAGAACAAAAAACATAATACGTACGATTCAAAGAGAGGACAATAACCTAAGAGCTCAATAAGTACTTTTTATATTTTTTTTAGAAAAGTTGCTGATGAAACATTGTTCGAAAGAGTTGATCAATTTCACCGCATTATACGTAAAAGACCGTTGAAAAATGGCTGTCCTATGTTGTGGCATTGTCAGGAGATTAATGTTGCGCGTATTCAAATTGTGAATTAAATTCCTACGAACAAGCTTTTGCATAAGATAAACGGGAACAGAAGTTTTTAATATTTTTACGACAAATGTAATAAAGTTGTATTTGAAAAGATCAGAAATTTTCAACCAATTCATTGAAGATATTGAGTGAGAAACATGATCGTACCTTCTTAAATTGTTTATGTAACGACTACATGAGTTTTGAATTTTTTGCAGTCTGTATTTTGTGGTTTCATCCAGACAGGGATAATAAACTATGTTGCAGTAAGCGATTTTACTGAGTATGAGTGACTCGCATAACATTTTCTTAATTTTTCTATTTAAAACAGTTTTACTTGCATATAGAAGCCTGAGTCCAAAATAACTAGACTTACACACATAGCCAACATGCTCCTGAAATCTGAAATCTTCATCCAAGTACAAACCTAAATTTTTTGCAGAATGGGAAAATATTAGGATACTATTATTTAGTGATAAATTTAACTTTGATTTGAGGAAAGTACGTTTTTTCTTGGAGCAAAAAAGTATAGCTGTCGATTTCGATACGTTTAGACGTAAATTATAATTGTCAGAATGTCTCGCACATGCTTTGATATCTGCAACATTTCATCCGTAAAAGTACCTTGCCCCTTTTGCAAACTGAAATTTCCGCGGTGCGTGTTGTAGTTTTTTTGGCAGATTTTTGTCTCCGATGTATTGCAAACTGTAAAAAATGTGTTGGATTGTAATGGAAACGTACCTGAAATTGAAAGGTGGAATCGTGTTTCGTTGCATATTGTTCGTTGTTTCGTTGTATATATAGATTAACGCATCCAATTATTTTCCTCAGGAGATAACGACAGTTCCTTTCATCACGTAACAGATGACTAAATTAAAACGTCAACGATTAAAAATGGAAAGCTAAAGAACCAAATAAATATCTGATTTAATAACCAAACAGATCAACAGATATATCAACGACTACTTTCCACTGCTTTTGTTTATATTATACCGTGCATTGCAGGTGCGTATAAACAAAATGCAATGGGAAATAAAATAGGCTTTATCGGCCTCATCTGTTGATATCAGATCGTATTTACAAGTCGGAAAAAGCGTTACATTTCGCTATTTAGTGGGTTTTTTTACAGGAAGCAACGGCTACTTTCCCGTAAGCAATTATATTACTTTTCATTCATACATCATGCTGTAATCTTTGAATGTATAGCTTGATCTTACTATTTGCTCTTACATAAATATTTAGTACTGGGGTATCGATAGTCTAGTGCGCCGAGACAAAAATTCAGGAAAACTATGGTTGCAGAAGAACTTCCTGATAAGGATCAAAGTCCATAAGCAGATTTTTCGATCCCCAAAATACCTCAAATTTCAATTTAAGAGCACATGTATTTTTTAAATTTTTCGTTTTAGATACACAGATAGAAAACCTAGACTGTGGATGTTGCGTTTCATATGGAATGCAATTTCGCCAGACCGGGTTATACACAATGTTTTCCTGAGACTCTAGTTCCATGCTTTGGTATTTTCAAATTGCAGAAAGATAGGCTTTGACATTCAGGGACAATAAATGGACAAGATGTCAGATTTCCGATAAACTTAATCATTCTTCATTCTCCACGTGATCCTTTATTTTTCGATTTTAAAGTCGAGTCTATTTTCCACTGACATATTTCAAAGATCGTCTAGACTGTAAACTCAGAAAAATAAATACTTAATGGATGATAATATACCACCTTTCCCGTATGTTAAACACTACGACTACTGTGAAATTATGTTTATCTTACTCCGATAAGGCTTAACCTTCGCGGCAAAGAATGCATCTAGGTATACATTGTATATTGTGCATGATTCATACGTTCTTCGGCAATAAAGCCTGAAGCTTGCAACACGGAAATATCCACAGCCAGATGAAAAACGTTTCGTTTTTGTTTCCTTTGTTGTGAATGTTTGTACTAACTTATATGGTAAATGGTAGCTCAATTGTTCGTATAAATTTAAAATAAACAAAAATATCGCGGACAAACATTTTTTTCTTATAAATATTATTCGTTTTGCTTCGAAACAACGAAAGTTTCGAACCACGTATGTATAACTTCACTATTTATTTGTCTCACTACTTTCTTTGAAAATTTCACCTTTATCACTTAAATTCATGCATTGGGCCACCAGCACCCCTGTAATTTTGACCATCGAATCGAATGTATATTTAAATTGGTAATTTCGGGGCGCTAGGAAATAATTGATTTTTTCGTATTCATTTTTGAATCACCCTGTATATTTTATTGCAGGATGAGAGCGACGGAATGAGTGACAACGGAGACGACCCCGCAACAGAAAACGGAACTGATGTTTTAGACCACGGAAAGGCTCCCTCAGATTTCACCAAAGTCGAAAAGAAAGCACCCAATTTAGCAACATATTATTTTAAGCACATAGACACTGACTCAGAAATGGATAAGCTAGATCACCGTGCCATATCAAAAGTAGATACGCAAAGCACCTTGGGGGAGACTTCCGAGGAGGAATGGACCTACACGAAAACGAATCATACTACGAAAACCAGCGACCAGGAGGTAAAGATTATCTTTGATATTTACGGATGTTACAGAATGTTTCAAAAACTGAAAGGCGGATTCAGCATGTCAGAATATAAAAAAGTTCATCTGAATATAGGTCCTGAAATTCAGTGAAATCTCCTTTGGAGGGACACCAACGGGACCGACTGAAAGTGTCCGTTCAAGAGGGGTGTCCGTATAAAATAAATGCAACAAAAACCGTGTTTTTAATGAAATCTGTGTATATTAAAGAAACTAGGACATTTAAAACGTATATGTATGTAAAGGTTTTTAAAATAAACAAGAAACTTTAAACTTAAGAAAAAAGGGTTCGGTTGTCTTCAGATATGCAGGGTGTAAAGCTAGCAGTGGATCAACTGAAGTCAGATGTTAGAGGGCCTCAAAACCTATGGAATGAACCCTATATGTGTGGTCCGAAATTTTATAGTTCAGGAGGTATTTGCAATTTTGTGAAATTTCGAAAAAAAGGGATAATCGCAATTACTTTACTACTAAACCATTAATTTTAGGGCTGTGATTTTTTTTTTCTGAGATGATCTAAATGGTTAGTTTTAACAATGGTTATGTCACTTTGTAACAGATCTTATTAGAAATCAACGCAAAAAATCTTAAATAATTCATTTCATTAAGAATCCTTACCACCTACAAGTACAGAACGTATTGTGTTTAGCCGCTCTTTATGGCGATTTATCGACAAATGTGGAAGATAACTTAATTTAACTAACTTTTAAAGAACATGTTCGAAATGGCCTCCATTATTTTGGATACACAAGCCACACTTTATGATAAAATTATCCTTTAGTCCTTGAAATGAATTTGCGTTTTCCATAATTTTTATTTTTGCTTCATCAATTTTTTGGCGCAGTTCGTTGACATTTGTATATTCAGATGTATATATTATCCCCTTATAAAGCCCCCATATAAAAAAGTCTAGAAGATTTAGATCGGGTGACCTTGAAGGTCACCGTATGTACCTATCCAACGCCCAGGAAAAGCACTGTCTAAGTAATGCCGTACATCCCGTGCAAAGTGTCATGGGGCACCATCGCATTGAAAATTCATATCGTAGCAAGCAGGCTTTATTCTAAATGGATTCAAATATTTTTCACAATAAAATGAATAATGAAATACAACCTCACTTTTTTCTGCCGCCCTCCAAAGTTGAGGGGTGGAAGAGATTTTTCACAAAAAAAATGAATTTAAGATTTTTTGCGTTGATTTTTAATTAGCTCTGTTAAAAAGTGACACCATTGCTAAAACTAACCATTTAGCTGATCTAAACAAATCACTGCCATAAATCCTAAGGTTTAGTTGTAAATGCGATTGAAAGTTTAGTATTTCGTTTTTTTCGAAATTTCACAAATTGCAAATATCTCCTGAACTATAACATTTCTGGCCACTGTCATTCGATATGTTTGAGGCCCTCTATCACCTGACTTCCGTTGATCCACTACTAACTTTACACTCTGTATACAATATAAATAAAGTAAAAACAGTTCGACCGTCTATGGGGCTGTTTGAATGGTTCTGCAAAACTGTTTTATAAACGGTCAGGATCGAAATAATTTGTGTAAACACCCCTTGTTTGACTGTGTATGGTACGGTTTGTGCAAACTTTGGGCCAGTTCAACTCCTGCTTCTCAGGTAGTTTCCCTCCTATCCGTGGGTGAAAACCAGTTCGGTAGCTTCAGCTCTTCAAAGGAAGCAACCGCATCTCAGTTCCGGAGATATTGCGTCTCTCATGACCGTGTTGTTTTTCAATATGAGGGCGTGTCGCCATTTTGAGTAGCTCGCTCAACAATATGGTTTTTGTAGTCCGCAGCTGACGTTATTTTGAGCTCAGTGACCAAGCGGTTATGACTGAATTCGCTCCTCGTCTGGAACAAACTCTTCACCCACACTCTTTGCATTCTTTTTCTTTTAACCTTCCGTTTCTCAGTCACTAGTTGCCAGAATAATGGAGTCACAGCAATACTCTGCGTCCGACATGTTCAACGAACAACACCACAAAACGATATGATGTTTGCGCAACATGTTGCTACGTGTATGTGCTAGCGTTTGTACAAACACCGAGTTTGCGCAAATTGTTCGCACGTGTATGGGAGGCTTAATATTTATTTTATAGCTTTTCCATTTATAGGCCAAAATCTTAAATTAGAAATATTACAAAGCCTAACTTATAAAACTATCTAAGGCGCTCCCGCAAAACACATTTCAGCTCCGAAATAGAACATAAGAATATGTCACAAAACTTACAAATACTATTATAATTCAAACACATAACCCTTTCAGGTGATTTTAAAATCAAATTTGTTAGCACGACTGCAAAAGAAAGTAACATTACATCTTGAAACGGATCTTGGCGTTAAAAACTGTAGTTGTGATAACAATTCCGAAGAAACTATAGTTCCATGCGAGAGTTTAAACAAAAAAATAACAGAACTGTGCTTCCGTCTCACATTCAAAGACGTCATTTTAAATTTGTCTAACAGAATTTTATAGTCCGATCCACGTTGAGGCTAGACTCTATCGCACTTAAAGCTAGATATTTAAGAAACTTTTTTTGAACATAATATATCCTGTTTATATATTGAATGGATCGACTCAAAAAATTAAAATTCGAGGTAATGAAATTGATGCATGTATACCATATTTCAGAGTAAAATTGACAGATGAAAATGTCAATATGGCCGCTGGGCGCCATCTTGGAAAAAAAATTATATGAAAACGGCGGTCGTGTGGCAAATCATTTTGAAGCTCCTGACGAGTACTTGATAACCTAGAATATAAAGTCAATTCCTTTACCTACTACAAAATCGTGGTACATTTAATAATTACTTGAACACAAACCCACTAACATGCATATCTCTTCAAATAATTGTAATTCCCTGCCGTATCCACAGTAACAGCGATGAAACTTTTTTTTGTAATTTTTTTTTGACAGTTACAAGCGAAAGCAAACATCATTGTACAGTTAAAATATTCTTATTTAGTTTTCGGTTTTAGTGCTAGACACTGTTTGAACTATTTTTAAAATGGTCAATCCTCGTCCATTGGAATAAAAAATCGAAGCGATTTTTATTTATGATGCGACGCGTAACTTTCACGAGACCGAAAGGATTTTTAATTATCGTCCTATCTGTAGAAAATATTTAAGGAAACTTGTATCTAAATTTACAGCTACTGGTAGTGTAATCAACAAAAAGCCCCCAGGTCAAGTACCATCCATACAAAATTCAAATGGTACATCAGCTAACTGAAGATGACCTTGATCGAAGAACAGAATTTTTAGTGATGAATTTACCTTTTTTTTCAACGGTAATATGCATAGACAAAATTGTCGTTATTGGAGTGACACCAATCCACACGTCTTCCGGCAAACTCATACTCAATATCCACAAAAAATTAACCTGTGGGCTGGGATATTGGGAAATCGTATTGTGGGGCGTCTATTCATACAAACTTTCATCTAGGTTAAAAATCAAAAAAGTTTTAATCATCATTTAACTTCAATAAATTCTTATTTCGAGTATATCAGAAAGTATAGGTTCATCAGCCCCATTTAACTGGTCTTCAATTTTGCACTATTTCTTTGGTTACTTGGTCCAAAGCGGTTGTTGTGAAATAAACTGCATGCATTGACGTAACTTTGTTTACTAACTCAAAAGCTGTGCCAGCAGTTTCAATGTTTACTAGCAGGTGTACTGCAGTAATAAGTTTTAAAACTTGGTGGAGTGGTTGACAAACTGATATACAATTAGATGGCAAAACTAAGATCCCGCATTATCTAAAATAACAGAATGTTTCCTTTTTCTTTAGCCATATCCCAATCTAGATCTTGCAACCACTCTGTCATAATTTGGAGCCATTTCTACAATGAATGTCGGTGCATCCCCGGTTTACTCGAAAAAGTTCCAGCGAAGATGGCTCGCGACACGATTGAGAAATACAATAGCGATACTCCCAACAGAAAAAAATAAGACAAGGCTTTTCTTTTTATTTTTTTTTTGTCCGGTTATGAGAACATTTTCTCGTGTCCGCGTCCTTTCAAGAGAATGTCCGTCCAAGAGAGAGTTAATATAGTGTCTGCGAAGAGGAAATTCACTGTATTCGTTTTTTTATTTTTTTTTATTGAAGGTACCAACCACTGATGAAACCGAAGAAAAAAATCGTCCCGAAACCCAAACCCATCCCAGAAGATACGATAAGGCGGCTAGTTCTGAAAGCAGAAGAGCTGGTCAGTCCGGACAAATGTCGGAAAAATTCTGTGAACAAACCGTCGAAAGTGAACAAATGGCTATGCTTGGAAAGACCGGATGATAGTTGCGATGCAAGTGGTGAAGATGACGAAAAAGAATCACAAACTTCGGAAGATGTCGATGCTAGCACCACAACTCTCAGGGAAATCAATTGTTCACAATCAAAAAATTCTTTTGACGAATTGAATACGAGCTCGGAAAGCAACCAGTGGTGTGGATCGTGTATGTCAAATTTGGACGATGTTTCCAATACCACAGTGTACGTATCTTTTTTGTCTATGAGTCTTAAATCTGGGCAACACATGGCGTTTTCAAAACATTGGGAAACAATTCAAGGGGTGATTCTTTGGAGAATTATTCTTTTTCTGAATCGTATTTATGAAAAAAAGGGAAAATAATTACTCCAAGAATTCTAACCCACCACCTTGTATATTCTATATTCTGATTAGTAACACCATTTCTTTCGTTTTCAGTATAAACAACTTTTCAATATCGGAGTCTGCCCTACACAAAATGAACCTAACGCCTAAAATTATGGACAGATTCTCGGCAAGTGCAAATAACTTTAACCTCACATCAAATAATTCTACGTCGTCGACAGTGGAGGAAATATCGCCACTGGTTACTGAAAAAACGTCACCTGCCAGAAGAAAGAAGTCGAAACTCAAAAGAAAACACTGGTAAGAATCAAACTATACCTAAAGATTTAAAAGATTACATTTTGGAAATTGTTTCAAAAGAAATTCAATAAGTGGCATTCTAAATCTAGGACTGAAATCATAAACTCATATATACGAACATCAAGTTAATACATGATCTATTGTGGCTAATTTTTATGTATATGAAAAAGCTCTTTTTGTATAATGATGTAAAGTGGTGAGGTATAATGAGGTATTGACTATTTCTAGTTGATAAGTTGTTAACGTCTTCAAATTGTTGTATTTAGTTTATTAAGAAGGTACTCTGTTTTATATTCAGTCAAGTCTCGTGGACCATAAATGATGTTTTATAGATCTAGATTTAATTTACTGTTTTCCTTATATGACTTGCATGGTACTATCAAGACAATAACGAAAACAAGAATTTTGAAGTCGCTGCAGTCTAATCTTATCAAAGCGGGTCCATATGCAGCATCACAATAAGATATCCTTGAAATTACTAGTGAATCACACAGTTGGAATCTTGAATTCTATTTAGTAAAAGTTGTTTAAGTAAGATGTTGGACATAATTCTTTTACATGATGACATTTTAATTCATTATCTAGTCATAAACTATGGACTAATTGTATGGTCCTGTTTGACTGACTTGATCCGTTTGATTTTCCTGTTTTACAAAATCGTAGGCTGAAGCTTTTCGCCATTTTTTCACAAAGTATAACTAAGTTTTTGTTTCCAGTTTGGGAAGTCGGACACTCACTTGTCGTGCGGTTCAGTTTCGCAAAAACACAGGAATCTTCTAATAAAATCAGGGTCTTTTTCTGGATACAGTACAAGCAGATATTTGAATAATGACAGACACAGTATCAGTGATCCACCGACTTCACAAACATGTACACGAGGACCTTGTGAAACTTCGACGACAAGCGGGGCAGATAGTGACGAGGAATTTTCTAGAAGGTAAACAGTTTTCCTAAAACCGAGTGAATCCTATTGGAAGTGTGAAAATTGAACGTACTGCACTAGGTATTGTTGCTACAGCTACAAACATTACTTTAAACTTATGCCATTGAAGGTAACGGAATATTTGACAAAAATAAGGTTCCCACATTTTTTTCAGGCGCAAAGATTTTTTATTTGGAAAATTCAAATAAAAAAATTCCTGAATTCCTGGGAATTTTATTTTTGAAACAACCCTCGTATGTTATGAAATATCGTGTTATTAGATGAAAATACCCCTGGTTTGCGAAATAATTGTAAGGTCTGGTTTTATTGGTGCTAGTTGTCAAGGGGGTATTTAAAACATGGACGCATAAAATGGGTACACCAATTTTGTGGGAAAACTTTTTATTCGAGAACAAATAATGATAAAACGTGTTTTTTGGGATTCGATCGAAAGTGTTTTCAGGAACGGAAAAACTCTTCATATAAGATTTTTATGTGTTTATGAGACCTACAAAATGAGACCACACGTCAAAAGATCAGACTAATAGCAAAACAGTTATGGTCGAAAACCGAGACAAACTTCAGGTTTTGGCACTTGCTGGTAATGCAACGATGGTTTCTCGCAGATACATGAAATTCTTCAAATTCGTAGGATTCGTACTTTTAAATAACCACGACAAAATTGGAGTAGATTGGTCAAGTAGTTATTGAGAATTTCTAATTGTTTATCCCAAAACACCTGTTTTCCGGTCATCACTGTCATGTGGACTCATTTTGTAGGTCTCATAAATACCTAAAAATTTTATATGAAGAGTTTTTTCGTTCCTGTCAACTCTTTCGATGGAATCCCAAAAACACGTTTGTTGTCGAAAAAAAAGTTTTCCCACAAAAATTGGTGTACCCATTTTATGCGTTCATGTTTTGAATACCCGCTTGAACATTGCAATAAATCCAGACTTTACAATTATTTCGGGGAAATTTGCTAATATGATTAGGCTATATTACCAAAGCACAGCGAGAGCTGGAAAGCTCGTATTCTCGCAAATTGGTTTTTATTTTTTTGTGAAATCAGTTATGAATAACTATTATTTTTCTATTGTAGGGTGCCAAATTTCAAATATGGATGGAAAACGCGATATTTGCACAACACAGATCTGAGAGAAAATAGCTCGGGGAAAAATAGTCTAAATGCTACAGAGGAACAATCCAGTTCACTATCAGAACAGGCATGGGATAACTACCAAGTAAGTGATCGATATTAAATCTTCTATTATCTATCGATCTATCTATCATATCTTATCGAGCAGGGATCAACCGCGTTTTATACTAATATTTACCAGGTACGAGATCTGTAAATTAAGTGATGAGACTGGCAACGTAGCGTTCGATGCGCCGTTCTTGGAAGGGAAAAGATTTGTTACCTTTAGCTTCATACAATAGGTACATATCTAGAATATAATATTTATGTACATAAATATATGTAGTAACACAAAGCAATGAAATTAAAAGTCACTTTAAGGACGCAAAAATTCATATATTGTCGCTTGTCTTCCCTTTTTGTTTAAAATGGCGTCTTGAACTCGTATTTCTAATTACAAAGAAGCTCCAAAGACTGTATCTCCCTGATTTTTGACAACATTTTTGAGCTGCTTGGTCAGGGTAATAGCTTTACCATAATTTGGAATAGCTTTTGTTGGTACTGGAACCTCACGGATATCAGAATCTTCGGAAAGATTTTGTATTTAAACTGGATTTTCAATTTCTTGATCTGATTCTGGATCTTCAACTTAGACTTTCATCTAGGTTCAAAAAATCATAACGGTGTTAATTATCAGTCAGTTTCAATAAATTCTTATTTTTGAGGATATCTGAAAGTACAAGTGGTAAGTCATCTTCTGGATCAGGTGTATCAACCTCATTTAACTGGTCTCCACTTTGCATATTTTCATGTTTAAATCCTGCTTTGCGGGAACAATTTTGCACTGTTTCTTTGGTTACTTGGTCCCAAGCGCAAAAGTTTTACCAGCAGTTTCAATGTTTAGTAGCAGATGTTTGAGTATTAGACTTTGGTAATAAGTTTTATAACTCTTTATAATCCCTTGTTGAAGTGGTTGACAAGCTGATGTACAATTAGACGACAAAAATAAGATTTTTATATTATTTATATTTATATATTAAGAGAATGTCTTTTCGATGAGATCCCGCATTGTCTAAAAATAACAAAAGTTTCTTTTTTCTTTAGCCTCTTCCAATCTAGGTCAAGCCACCACTCGCTGCGAAACTGCCATTTGTGGTGCTTCTCAACAATTTAGACCCGGAACACACATCAATTCCGCGGCGATTCTTGCTTAATTCATGATAAAAGTAACCAAGGATGCAAGATGTTCAAAAGGCGCCTTGCTGGCTACACGCCTGTATTATCGAACTGAATCCAACAAGAGCTTATCCTTAATTACAAATAATTACTTAAGCACCATGTCACTGCTTCTTTTTTCGAATATCATGGCTACAAAGTTGTACTTTGATTATGCGCGTTTCGCGTGGAGAGACACAAAATAACGCCGGAATAATGGAAAAAGAATAAGTGAATTTTGCATCACGATAATACACCTGCCCGCGCATCGTTACTTGCGATTAGTTTGTTCACCCGATTTGGCCCCCAGTAACTTTTCCTGATCACAAAACTGAAACGAACCATGAAAGGACGGAGATTTGAAACGGTTAAGGAAACAAAGCAAAGCTGGAGGAAATCAAGGCTTTACCAAAAACTGTCTTAATTTGGAGCCATTCCTACTATGAATGTGCCTATTGTGCCCTTTCCGGATAGACATCAGACTTATACTGAATGGAAATTTAATCGAAAGCGTGTAACGGTTAGGAGATCATTTTCTCGAATGCCCGTCCAGGAGAGAGTTAATATTAATTTTTAATTCCTATTATTAATTAATTATTTCAAAAATTAATTTAATCTCTTGTTATTTCTTTAACAAATTATTTTAAAATGATTATTTTAGCAATTATATGAGGGTCGGTCGGGACCATGAGCAACTGTCCGTTTAAAGGAGATGTTCTTGTAAGAGGGGTCGGAAGTTTCTCTGTATCTGAATAAAAATCTTATCAATTAATTTACAGACCTCGTATGATACCCATTTGCTAAGCGTCCCACCCCTATGTACCTCGTCGTGTCATCATCCATCATAATCATACTCACATGGTACCATAAATTTAGCAAGTGAATTTTTACTTTTTTTTTTTCAGGAAAATTACTTGTCTGAAGCATACAGCGAATCCCACGATTCGGACGCAGCAAGGAGATTATTGAATTTCGGCGAAGATTATCGTAACTTCATTGACAGTCAATCAGATTGGTCGGCATTTTCTGACATGTCTCCAACGTTCAGGCGAAAGAAACTGATTGTTCAAAACGCCGAAGATCAAATGAATGAACAGGAATCATTGAAGCAATTGGTCAATGATTCCAGAGATCAGCTCACGTATACTGAACAGCTGTACAGGCAAATGAAATTGGGACTTGAAAATCACCTCATACCAAACGACGTAAGTAATACAGGAATGTTACAGAATGTTTTCAGAAAATTGAAGACTCGGCGCGTTATGTTCAAACTTAAGCAAAAGTATTGATAATTCTCATGCCCAGATGATACACAGTTTCTAATTAATTGAATACTCTTCAGATCATTAATCCACAAAAATCTAAGATGTTTTTATTTTGAACCCAGAGGAAAAAAGACACAGCTGTTGTACATTCAAATAAATAACCAAATCTTAGTGTTGTTTTTGACACAAAATTAAGGTTTATTGAGCATGTTAAAGGTCATTCACAAAAAACTTCTTAAGTTTATGTACCCTTATAGCAAACAGGAATTTGCTAAATTTAAGTTGCTTAAAAAACTACGTAAAGCATTGGTCATATCTAGACTAAATAATTCTAATATCGTATATATATCGTATTTCACCAGAAGCGTTATTCAAGTTATTTAAAACATTGTGTACGTTTCATCTTTGGCGTAGGTAAATTTGATTATCTATCTGCGAAATATCCCGTTCTAAACTGGTTAAATTTATGATAATTAATGACTTGGTCAAGCATCACTATTCAGTTTTTGGTCACAAATTACTACTCACGTCTAAATCCTCGTACTTGAGGGAACATTTTTAATCTAACAATGATCTTCACAGTCGAACTATCAGATAAAAGAATATTAGAATACCCAGCATACGTCCACACTTTTTAAACGCAGTTTTTCCTACAATGTTGCTATTATTTGTAATGACCTTCCTGTCTGTCCTGAGGCTTCTGTAAAAGCTGAGACAGGTAATCCAAAATCGAGCGATTTAGTTTGGGAACTCATTGCCCATCCCCTTTACAGCCCCGACATGAGTAAATGGCGTTCGCATTCCTAGTGGAATGATTGCCGTCCTCCTTGGGCTCTTCTGGTTCATAAAATGCGGGGAACCACTCCGCAAGTTTTTGTTTTTCTGCTCTTATAGTTTTCATGCGACTTGTCACTATTCACTACCTTCCTCTAGTCTTTCCTATTCTTACAGAGTTCTTTCCAGCTTTTAATTCCAAGAGCTTCTATGTCTCTGCATACTTAGTCTTCCCATCATACTTTTGATCTTCCTCTTGTTCTAGCTGTCGCATCATTGTCTCCTCTTTCACTATATTCTGCCCACCTTAATCTTTGCGACTTGATAAATCTTACAATATCTTCTCCATTCAGCACTCCCAGAATTTCCACGTTTCTAAGTAGCCTGAGTCCTTCGTCTTCTTTTATTGTTCCCATAATTCTTCGGACAATTTTGCGTTCGACAACTCGGAGTCTTTCCTGGTCTTTCATTGTAAGTCACATGGTTTCCGCTCCATACACGATTACCGGTCTGTTTGCAACTTTGTACATCGTTAGTTTGGTTTGCTTGCTTATGTTCCTATCCTGTAGTAATCTGTGGTACATCCAGTATGACCTGTTACCCATCAGTATCCGTTCTGCGATTTCCGCTGCCCCTTCGTCGGTCACTAACACCCCTAAGTATTTGAATCGAGATACTCTTTCAAATCGATATTCTCCTATTTTAATTCCTTTGATGCTGCTCTTGCCTTGTCTGGTTGCCATTAGATATTTCGTCTTCTGTTGATTTATTTGTAATCCTCTTCTTTTCCTTCGTCAGATAATTTTAGTGCTTCCTCTAGACTTCTTTTCTTTCAGTCATGGTTTGAACAATCGTGTTTCTAATTCCTGTGGCCCTTACAGTTCCCTCTACGACTATGTACAGCCCTGACATAGCCTGTCCAAAATTGAAGGAGCACCTAGGCAGTCAACGGTTCGAGACGGATGAGGAATTGCAAGGAGTAGTTACCAAGTTTCTAACCGGGCTAGTGACAGACTTTCTTGAGGCGGGAGTGCACGTCTGTAAAGATGCGTGGAAAAAGAACGACTATGGAGAAAAATAGCTTAAAGATCAACGTTTCCAATTCGTTTTTTAAAATAAAACATTCATTCGTACAATTTGAATACAACGTATATTGAAATGTTTATATAAACTGTTTTTACGTACTGAATCTAACAAAAAGATTTTTGTGTTCCAGGAGGACCTGATTCCGTCCTGTGATAGGCATATCGCATTACTGAGCCACATGAACGAGTCGTCGGACACCTACAAGATGACTATGGGGGACAGGGCGGTGACAACAGGTAGGAGTTGGTTTCCTGTATTTATACCCTGCATCTGGACATCCCTATTTGATTTCTTGTTCAAGAAAGCTGTTAAATTAATTGTATATTTTATTGACAAGTTAAAACGCATACACAAACTCAAAATGAATTGATTGTTATGGACACTGTTATCTTCTGCATGTAAATTAAGATTTATATTTTTGCTAGAATTGCTAACAGCATGTGTACGCATTAAATGTTTTGCTTACTATTCTCTTTTTGCTTTTTAGTCTACTCCCTATCCCTAAACCACAGCATATACAATGGGTTCTTTCAAAAAATGACTTTCTTACAGCCCTGAACTGACATCTATAGCGAACCAATTCAGTCGATAACTAGGCAACATCATGTCATTAATTTAATTGAATTTGATCTCTAATAGAAACTTGTGATTGGGACTGCGTAGACGTCTTATTGGTAGCGTACTTTTAATTGGGCTGCCGAGAACGGATTATTTAAAATGTGTGCCCGCCGATGACGACACAGCGTCAACGATTTGGATGGCAGCCTCTCGCAGCTCGTGCCGGGCTCTCAGGGTCATAAATTCAACAACAAATACAGCGTAATTTATAAGGAGTGTGCTTGCTGTGGAGTATTGTATATGCTGTGCACCCGCCTCCTTTTGCTGACAGCAACTTTGTATACATGTTTGGAAAAAAGTTACAGTTTCGAAATTTGTAAAAAGAATTTAATATCAAATAAGATGGAAATCGTCTTCAGAAATAGCATGAAAACATCGTTTTTAAGCCTAGATATAGAATTTTGGCTTTATATGAAATCGAAGAAAATATACCGGGTGTTTCGAATTCAACGACTTACCATTGGAAACAGTTTCTTAAATGGGAAACACTTGACCATTAAGACTACTAAGAAAAAGTTTCACAACAGAGTTTTCCGGTGACAGAGAAATTTCCTGAAATCGTTTTTTTTCTAATTTTATTTGTGTGAATTCAAAATAATATATACATCAACATTTTTTTCTCTTGGCCTTAATTATCAACTCCATTTTTTCTTATGGTCGCTATAATATTGGATTGCGGAAAATGGAGTTTTTAGTTATGATTCAATGAATCTCTTGCATTAACATTGCAAAACTTCAGTTATTGAAACGAACTCAAATTTTCATGTTTGGCATTTAATATGACAGCTTATCACGTGTTTATTCAACCAATTACAGATTGTTTTATTTTATAAAAGTAGACACACAATTTCAGAGTTGTACTTATATTTGTTAACAAGTTCAGATTGAATAAAAATGCACAAAAATCGCATTTTTCGACAACAAAAAATCCCTAATCATTCTGACTGTAACCGACGATCAGAATTCTGTTGATATTTTCATCGGTTCTTGTTGATGAAGGCCTTCCTCGCGGTTCATCGTCAATCGACTCTCTCCCTTCTTAAAACACCGAAAAACCTGGGCTCTTGACGAAGCAGTATCTCCGTAGGTCTGCTGAAGTCTAGCAAAATGTCCGTCGCACTGTGCCCAAGTCTAAAGCAAAGTCTGGTAGCACACTGTTGCTTGACATTCATGTGGCTCATTTTTAGAACACAATAGTAAAAACTGAAAAAAATCGGATAACCAAATGACTCGAGCGGGTTCAAACTTGTACTGAAGGCGAATCACATGTTCTCCTGTCTCCCCTCCAAGGCCAGCGCCTCTCATGATGCCAGATCGAACGCTACGTTTCCAGTCTCATCAATTAATGGACAGACCTCGTAGGTTGATGATATGAAACAAATAACTATCTGTTAATTTCAACGCTGTTTTTGATAATCATAGTCTTATAGTATTAATGAATGACATACATTTTTGAAATCAGAATAAATATTCACCTTTGTAAAAATTCAATATGGCATCCATAAGAAAAAAATAAAGCATCAAACCAAAATTTTACCTTGTAGATGATAGAAGTTGATGTGTTAATGTGTCTATGTATTAATTTTGTGAGGGAGAAATGAAATCGATTGTTAGAAAATTGTTTTTTTCCGGAAATACTATGAATTGTGAAACTTTCTTAGGTACCAATTGCGCTACTGTTCTCCATTTAACCGACTTCGTATCTTTTACCGTTTTCAATATACCAATGATGAGAGTCGAAGTTGAAACACCCGGTATACAAATATCTAACGATTCACCAAAGGTATATACGTAGCATAAACGCACACAAACTTCAAACTTTCGTAGCTTATATGGATCCAGGGAGAAGTTGGAATTCTTTGATCCCAAAAAAAAAAAAAATCTACGTGATTGACTTCGGAACTTACGCGAGGATAAAAAATAGCTTATTTTAACGAAAATCTCAAATTTGTAGTGTTTTTTATCCAACATTGCACAGTGAAATACTTAGTTTGAGTATCAAGTGATTTGAAACAAATACGATCAAGGTAAGTTGAAATCATGTCGTGAAGTAGTAATACTTACTAAATATTGTTTCATACGCATTTAACTCCTCACGCAATATACTATTGTACTTTATTCAAAATTCTTATACTACATTCAATCTTATATCGTTATTATTGAAGGTATATTTGTAGCAACAAAACAATATTTTTTTTACTAGCAACACAACTCTATTGAATCGGAGATGTATCATAATACATAACTATTTCATACACGTTCCCACTAGTTTGATACTGGTTTCTCTACTAAATGAGAAACAGCTATATCTGCATGTTGCCAGCAAACTAACACTTATGCTTCATCTCTCTAGTCTGAGAAATCACCATACGCACTCAGTACTTGATAACTTCTACTCCTCAACCTAAATCTCTACAAAGGTTGTTTCAAAATAAGGTTCCCACTTGTTTTTCAGGCAAGTCGTTCGTTTGTTGTGAGACATGAGGATGCGCATTGTTGTGGTGCAGTCTCACGCTTCAGTGAGTTTTCCAGTACGACGAATTTTTGATTGCCGGTCTCAGCTTCTTCAGAAGCCTCAAAAACTTCAACCGCGTGTTCCCGATAGGCGCTTCTTGTTGGGATCGTTGGTGAGGTAGCTGACAAACACGACGGTATTATCAGATTTAGCCTAGCATCACGCGCCGCAAAGATACAGCGTTGACAACCTTATTTTTGAGACAACCCTCGTAATGTATGAATGTTGTTTCGTTATTGTTGCTTAAAGTCTGCTTTTAGATATGTGCTATGCTTTTTATATGAGGAACCCCGGTTATGCAAAAATACACGCACTTAGGAATATAATATTGCCACCTCACGCACCTATGTTTCTAGCATCGGTTTATATTTTGCTACGTGAGTTTGCATGATAGTCCGCGAGTTCACGTGACGAAGGTAATACTAGACAGTCAGTTTATCTCCAAATACGGGACAAACAACATGCGTGGAAATGGACCGTATGTGGACTGTACTTAATTCTATATCGAATATAAGGAAGACCTCACAGAAACCTTATGAAGAAGGCTTTGAGTTAATTTTCATTTCAGTATGTTGTAGATCTCAACGCCTAGAATATATGTTTGGGCTCAAAGGTTTTCCTTGCAACATTTTGAGATGCGTAGTCTCCTAGTTGGACAATGTGTACCCTATTACAGCATTTTGTAGTACACGACGGATTATTTAGGGGGGTCTTTGGGGATAAAGCGTTTTATTTGGATCTCTGCACTATTAATTAGATGACGTCATTACTACTAGGTTATTTCTTTCTCAATCAAAACAAGTTCCTACTAATATCTTGAGGATTTGTAGCATAATCTGTCTTGAGTCACTGTCACTCTTAACTCGTGGAAAATGTAAGGCCCATAGCCACTTTGGTTTTACGTTTTTAGATCTACAACGTACCAAATTAAAAAACGCCACCCATTTTGTATATACTTTCTGCGGGGTCTTAAGTACTCCTATAAATTGTTACCAAAGGCAAGTATCACCTTAAAGGACCTATAATAGAATTCATTATTTCATAATCAACCAGGCAGGGGATACTAAAAGAGTAAGTGCTAAAAGATAATTTTTTGTACTTTCAGGCCTGCTAACTCAGTGGCGGGTACTGAAAGTTCGGTGTATGAAGATGCAAGAATACAGAAGGTTGCAGAAACAGATCTTGGAGTTGAAGGCATTCATAACATCCGCGAATATGCCTGACAAGAACACAGTATTTCCATCGAACATCGAAATGGAAGATATACACAACGAAATCGACAGCTGCAATGTAAGTAAATGTGTCGATGTCATTGTTTAAATACGGCTTTATTACACACATTTGCGAGAAAATAATTGTATGAATCTTTTTTATTTTCAAAAATATCGTATTGGTTAGTGGATGACTATCCCTATTTAGATATTATAACCGAAAATCGCATTCAACGTATTATGAATACATGTTGCAGGCTCGTAAATGATCTCGAAAGATATGATCATACGACTGTTGTTTCAAAAATATGGTTCCCCACGCTGTATCTTTGCCTCGTGTGATGCTAGGCGAGATCTGGCAACACCGTCGTGTTTGTCGGCTCCCCCACTACCGATCCCAATAAGAAGCGCCTGTTGGCGATGCCCAGTACCCGGCCTGACGGCCATGCGCAATAAATAAAGTCCTTCATCGCCGTCACCGCCAGGAGCGAAATTCGTGCGGTCATGCGATTTTTGCACGCAAAAGCGTTACCGCCCATAGAAATCCATCACCAGTTGAGTGAAGTATATGGGAAACTTGTATAAGCATTCAACAAGACCTCAAATGGTGAGGATAGTTCTTTGACGGCATAAGGACATCCACGATGAAAAACGAAGCGGGAGGTCGTCGATCTCCGAGGAAGTTATGACGAAGATTGAGGAAATTTTGCTCGATGATTGGCGAATCACGATCCGGGAAAAGGGAAATTCCTGAGGTTTCTCAAAAAGCTAAGACGGGCAAAAAATCACGTTAACACGTGCAGTCCCGTGGGCGGGGGTGACACCAACCCTAAAATCTTAAATGGAAAGGGGGGTCGAGTGATACCTTATTTTAAGGGTCTTTCAATTCCATTTATAATGATATAAAATTAATGTACTTCAGTTGAGTAGTTTGAAGATTTGTTGATTTAAAGCTTAAATAAAACTAATACATCATAATTAGTGGAGATCAATACATTTGGCAGCAAAGTAATTTAAAAATGAAGAATGAACTGACCCGTTAGGCAAGTAAATGTTGAAAATGGCCACCATGACTCTCCATGCAATAATAAAGATTTTTCTCAAAACGTTGCCGCAGATTTTGCAATATTTGAGGAGTAATTTGAAGGCACTCATTCACAATTCTTTGTCGCAGGTCTTCTAATGATGTTGAATGACCCCACATAAGAAATCCAAACGTGATAACCCATATATCTATATATATATGGGTGAATATATTTTTCGTTCGACTACTCTCCAATAGATGACACTTCTTTGTAAAGTGTTATCACAGGTCACACAAAATTTAACTAGTCAAAAAGATCCTTTACGTTCGGTTAGTTGGGGTTCGGGATGGGTCTATGGCAACGCATCCTCAAACATCAAGAAACTTAAATTTCCGTGAGGGGGTTAAAATCCCCCATTTCTTGATGAAACTATGTTCAAAATTTGTTTATTATATTCTAATATTACGTATTGGATTTGGCTTTGTTGAAAACAAAGCGGCCTCCTCCTTGCTTGCATACTGAACGGATTTCACCAGCCCAAGGTAGTCATTCAAAATGGTGGACCTTGTGATAGCTACCGATATGCAGCGCCATCTATTGGAGAGTAGCCGTCACCAAAAAGATTCGTTCAGTTGGGCTACCATCACATAGATGGCGCTTCTTTGTAAAGTGCTACCACAGACCTCACAAAATTAACTAGTCAAAAGATCCTTTAGGGGAGGTTGGTCGGGGTTCGGGATGGGTCTATGGCAACGACTCTTCAATGATCAAGGATCTTAAATTTCGTGAGGGGGGTTAAAATCCCCCCATTTTTTGATTAGATTAGTTTATTATATTCTAATATTACGTATTGGATTTGGCTTTGTTGAAAACAAAGCGTCCTCCTCCTTGCTTGCATGGGTTCACTGAACGGATTTCAGCCCAAGGTAGTCATTCAAAACGGTGGACCTTGTGGTAGCTACCGATATGCAGCGCCATCTATTGGAGAGTAGCCGCCACCAAAAAAATTCGTTCAGTTGGGCTACCATCCCATAGATGGCGCTTCTTGTAAAGTGCTATCACAGACCTCACAAAATTTAACTAGTCAAAAAGATCCTTTAGGGGCGGTTGGTCGGGGTTCGGGATGGGTTATGGCAACGAATCTTCAAGATCAAGATCTTAAATTTCCGTGAGGGGGGTTAAAATCCCCCCATTTTTTGATGAAATATGTTTAGATTGTTTATTATATTCTAATATTACGTATTGATTTGGCTTTGTTGAAAAACAAAGCGTCCTCCTCCTTGCTTGCATGGATTACTGAACGGATTTCAGCCAAGGTAGTCATTCAAAACGGTGGACCTTGTGGTAGCTACCGATATGCAGCGCCATCTATTGGAGAGTAGCCGCCACCAAAAAAATTCGTTCAGTTGGCTACCATCCCATAGATGGCGCTTCTTGTAAAGTGCTATCACAGACCTCACAAAATTTAACTAGTCAAAAAGATCCTTTAGGGGCGGTTGGTCGGGGTTCGGGATGGGTTTGGCAACGAACTTCAATCAAGAATTAAATTTCCGTGAGGGGGGTTAAAATCCCCCCATTTTTTGATGAAACTATGTTAGATTTGTTATTATTCTAATATTACGTATTGGATTTGGCTTTGTTGAAAAACAAAGCGTCCTCCTCCTTGCTTGCATTGGAGTTACTGAACGGATTTCAGCCCAAGGTAGTCATTCAAAATGGTGGACCTTGTGGTAGCTACCGATATGCAGCGCCATCTATTGGAGAGTAGCCGCCACCAAAAAAATTCGTTCAGTTGGGCTACCATCCCATAGATGGCGCGCATGTAAAGTGCTATCACAGACCTCACAAAATTTAACTAGTCAAAAAGATCCTTTAGGGGCGGTTGGTCGGGGTTCGGGATGGGTTATGGCAACGAATCTTCAATGATCAAGGATCTTAAATTTCCGTGAGGGGGGTTAAAATCCCCCCATTTTTTGATGAAACTATGTTTAAGATTTGTTTATTATATTCTAATATTACGTATTAGATTTGGCTTGTTGAAAAACAAAGCGTCCCCTCCTTGCTTGCATGAAGTTCACTGAACGGATTTCAGCCCAAGGTAGTCATTCAAAATGGTGGACCTTGTGGTAGCTACCGATATGCAGCGCCATCTATCGGAGAGTAGCCGCCACCAAAAAAATTCGTTCAGTTGGGCTACCATCCGATAGATGGCGCTGCTATGTAAAGTGCTATCGCAGACCTCACAAAATTTAACTAGTCAAAAAGATCCTTTAGGGGCGGTTGGTCGGGGTTCGGGATGGTCTATGGCAACGAATCTTCAATGATCAAGGATCTTAAATTTCCGTGAGGGGGTTAAAATCCCCCCATTTTTTGATGAACACATTGTTTTGTCAGTTTATTATATCTAATATTACGTATTGATCTCGCTTTGTTGAAAAGCAAAGCGTCCTCCTTCCCGCATACACTGGGACTTACTGAACGGATTTCAGCAGCTCATGGTAGTCATTCAAAATGGTGGACCTTGTGGTAGCTACCGATATGCAGCGCCATCTATTGGAGAGTAGCCGAATCAAAAATAGATTCATCCGTATACCTCTGCTAAATCATTTTGAGCTAATTCTGTGCATTTTCAACTAGACAAATGTTAAAAACTGTAACATAACATAAAATACTACTCAAAAAATCCTATAAAATACGAAGCTATGATGGAGCCATCTATAAGAAAGTAGCGGAACTAAAAATATACCTATTAAGGTGACGTCACAAATACAGATTTGCTCATCTCGAACGTTACCGTTGAGTAAAAATTCGTTCATAGAAGTAGCCACACTGTGACAGCATCAAGTGCAAACTGCCAATCAGCGAGAGCTGCTCTCATTCCCGAATTTGTTATTGCTACTAGTTTTTCGGTACCTGTAAATAAAATGTTATCGTTATTTTCACATACATTGAAAATTCTACATCCTAGGAGTATTGGGCAGTCAACTGCTTCGCATATCATCAGCACACTGCAAAAACACGATTAAGAACATAATTTTTCCTCTGTTTGAGTTTAATACAGTTTCAAACTTATACCTGTTCAGATAAAACTGTTTATTTCCGTATATTCTACTTGTGTATTTGAAAACATTTTTACGCCATTATAACTCACATTTTCCGACTCGATTAATCAACTGATGTCAAACATGTAAATTCCAATTACCCAAAACTTCTTTTTGGGAGTTACCTGTTCTTGCATTAACCCGACGATATGCCCGTTAATAGTAAGGTAGAGGTACTTCAAGAATGTAAAACCTACCTTAACGTATGTGTTTCATAATCTCTAGTTACTTGACTGTATATTATACACCGTGTTTCAAATTCGATCTCTCCATTGGGATCTTGGAAACCGCAAGAGATACGAAGTCACTTATATGGGGGCAAAGTTGCGTATTTGAGTGATCAACAAAATGTTTTATCAAATAAAAAATTCCTTGTCCCTGAAAAATGTGGGAACCTTATTTTTCAGACAACCGTCGTATCATGACTTGGCTATCCCCCGTTTCCGGCTTGACGCCGACTTCCGGGACACCCAGTATAGTATCTAAATCTCGCCTCCTGTAATGTCATTACAGATAAATAGACATTAATTATTATTGGAAAATTTATCTGAGAACATTCTGACAAAAAGTGTACTATTTCCTAGGCTATTATAAGCAAAATGGCTAGTAGCTAGTCTATTCGACGGCTATGTAGTAGGCAAAAGGGAGTGGTTCATACACGGTTGCTGTGTGCCTGGTTGCCTACAGGTAATCTCCATTGGGAGGGGCTATTTTGAATCAAGGTTGCTAGATACATGGTGGCCCAACAACGCGGAAAACTTTTTGTATTTTATAAGCGAATATGCGAAATTAAACTTTATAGGATGTTGCGTAATTTTGTGATTTAGCAAGCATATTCTCAAATAGGAGACACTATACACCGTGTTCCACGAGAAACTGCGGCGCC